TACTAACCTATGGACCTCATCGTCATTCATTTGTTCCATCCGTCGCTCCTTGCATTCATCTCTTCGACCTAACTTCCTAACCTTTGTAGTTGCATCATCTAGACGACCATTGTCCTCGTTCCTCGTACTCCTGGCCATCTGATGATGATCGGATAACCATCTGATTTGAGTCACACATCCCCAATCACGAACCGTGATTGTGGATCCCGAGTCGTCTGTCCGTCATACGAAAATACCTTTCTAACATTTGCTATGCCATGCCTCGGAAGGAGCGGACCAGGCTTTGGAGCTGGACCTCTTTTGTTGGCTATCTGGCTATCTAGTTTCTATAGCTCTAGCTACCGGTATACATCATGCCCTTGGCGTCGTGTGTAGAGCTACCGGTGCGGTGGCTAGCTCTAGAAAGTTAGAAAGGTGGTGACTTGGTTCGTCATCATTCCTTCTCGATTGATTGAATGATTCAATCATTCTAATTAATGCACAACTAATTAGTGGCTGGCTTCCAACCTTTCACACGTATCTTTGTCGCCCACTCCCTCCCAGGAGCCAATTCCTAACATTCTGCAACTGCTGTTACTCCCATCAACTGTGCAGAGAGGGGCATTGGATTCGGTCCTTTCCCAGACCTCCTTTCTTCCAGGATATCGGCATACCCATGCTGCTCTGGAAAGTAGTCATTGTACAGATCAATGCTCTTTTCGGCAAAGATACCCAGAAAGTTAAAGCCCACCAGCACCAGCAAGGGCAAATGAAACATGTCACATCCTGTAAACTCTTCATGCCTCACATGTATATCCCCAAAACCAACAGTTGTGACTGTGACAAAACTAAACCAGTACAAGTCCTTGAGAGGCCGTGCATCACCATAGCGGCCCATCTGGTAGGCCATTACCACACTCGCCAAAACCAGCATCCACAGAAATGTCATTGTGAGCCAGAATAGAACACTCAGTGGGCCTCTTATCAGAAATGATAGATTCAGCTTGTGGAAGTAGTGCTCGAACAGGTTCTTCCAAACTTGTGCTGCTGTGTTGTTGAGTGCCAGGAAGAGTACAATTGTCAGAAACCCAGCCGTGCAGACCAGAAATCTCCCTTCGTCAGACTCTGGAGCTGTATTCCCATACCCAATGGTGGTAAAAATTGTGAACCAAAACAAGGCACCACCTGCAATGTGAACCTCACAACCTCTGGAGCCTGAGGATTGATGAACTAGGTCAAGCATCAAATCCTTAAAGAGAAATATTCTCTCTGATGGAATGCCCGTTTGGTTCTTTCGGCGTTCAAAATCGTTTCCAAATCGGTGAAGATACCTGCCCAGTTGTTGGTCGCAATTGTCTTGTTCGTTCAAACCAACGTTCTGTAGCCAGATCCGGGTGGCATTTTCATCTCCAATGGTGTTTTCTCCCCAGCAATTCATCCAGTTGAATGTGAGTGCAGCTTCTGAGGCTACCAAAAAGGCCAGAGGCTCAGTAATGGGGAACCGATGCTTGGCACTCTTAAAGGCACATTCTTGGATATTCTCTGTAGTCTGAATCAGGTTGTCTGGGAATGCCTTTTCCATGGCCTCATCACCTATTGCATTGACTAGGCATTGCACAGATGTGTTGGCCATGGAACTGTAGATGGATTGTCGATCTGCAATGTGCTTCATGTACTTGAGAAAGACATTTCGTGATAGTGCATCGTTGCTTTCGATTTCTCCCTTCATTTCAATTTTGGCCAATATTCCACCAAATAAAAAGGCCATTCCAATGAGAGTCATCAGGGGCAGCACCAAGTGAGTTGAAATATAGTAGATGTGGGGCATTCCGTGCTTGAAATTGTAGAGACGAGAATGTGCTTCTGTCATCATTTCTGAAGACTTGTTGCCTTGATCGAATTCATCCTCAAAATCATCAGACTCTGTAGCTGCTCCCTGCTGCTCATGCTCTTGGGTCAAACTCTCAGCCTTTGAACCAACACTCTCCGGGCTACCTCCTCTTTCCTCTACTTCTTCCTCCTGGACTCTTCCCAGTGACTCTTCCCATTCGGGCCCACGGTTGCTAGGCCGCTGATGGGATAAGACGCTACTGGCGCTGCCAACTTTTTGGAAGATCACTGACATTGGGTACCCCGCGGTAGTGCCAAACTCCGAAACAGATAACTACTCTGGTTGTCTTATTGCAAGGCTTTGTCACTTGACAGAGAGTGTGACTGTGACCACTCCAAGTTCGCCGTTGTTGCCGTTGCGGTGCTCGTTTCTTAGCCAGCACTAGCTGTTTTTATGCGCAGCGTCTTGCTACAGTCCTCGTACCACTACTGGTACCGGTACCAGTACCGGTACGTAGCCTTATTGACCTCAGCAGAGGGGTCTCATGCAAGGTTGCAAGGCTCGTTGTGCACCTCTGGCTTTGATTCATGATGAAACGGAACGAAGATCTACACTTCTAGCTAGTGGCTGGCAGGCTATCGTATGCATTACTATTATCATGCAAGTACAGTATTAACTAGTAGTCTAGTCTAGCTTGGTCCAGTTGGTCCACTCTGGTGGCGTTCACAGGACTCCTGGACTGGAGTAGAGGCGAGCTGCCACCCCTTGCAAAACGAATCTACCCTAGCTAGAATCCCAAAAGGCTCTTTGCCCAATGAATAATCTCGTCGTCTTTGGGGTACTCGGAGGACGTGGAGTTCAGGTCGTTGCCGTGCCTTTGCCACTCCTCTAGTGACATTTTGCATTCCGTAACATTCCCACTTGCCGTGTAGTAACTGTTGTTGCCAAAGACGAAAGCGCCATCGCCGTCACACTGGAAGGAACCAACGTTTTCCTGTGTCATGATCACTCGATTCTCGAAAAAGTGGTCCTCGTGTCCTTTGATCTGTTTCATGCTAAAAATAGCTTTTCCAACATACGCATAGATATTGCGATAGTGCCAATTGTCGCATCCTCCAAAGTCGTTCTTCATGCCCTGGCCTCCATAGACGAAAAAGTTGTCATGAGTGTGGAAGCGGGCGCTTCCGTCGTCATTGTCCACATTCTCTTGTGGTGAATAGTTGTCGATAAAAAAGTTGTGATGAATTCTGCGCCATTCGGAAAACATGGTAGGTTCCTCCAAGCCATCTTTGTACGTCAAAAAGGGCTGGCGGTCCCAGCTATTGAACGGGCCGTCTGATTGTGACCAAGGTTCAATCGAGATGCACAGACAGAGAGACAGTAAGATCGATTGCACATTATTTTGATCACACGAAGAGACTCAAACGAAGAGACCCGCATACAGACAAACAAACTTACGATCGCCACTTTCGCGACACGTGGAAAAGACGAGATTGTGGTAGAGTTCATCTCCACCTGCAAATCCATCATTGAAATTGATCCCTGCTCGCGGCCCATTGAAAAAGACATTTCCTGTCAATGTCGAGTATGCCGTCTTGGCTTGCATATAAAAGCTGGCCTGTTTTTCGTAGAGCCCCACTTCTCGTGCGGTACACCCCTGAATAGTGTTGTACTTGGGGTGTTCCCCATCGGTTCCATCCACTCCCGCCGCAGGAGCCCCCTGCAGGTGGACACCGGGCCTTCCCGGATCGGTATCGGTTTCATTGGTGTATCCCCACGACGCCATGGCCGTGCCTCCAATGTACGCAAAGTCGCAATTTTGGACCGTGGTGTTCCGATTGTATCCCGAAATCATGACTCCATTGCTATCGAGGCGTTCAAACGTACATTGATCCAATGTCATTTGACGCGTCCCCTGCAAAAAGACGGCTCCGTTTCGCTCCAGTGCCCAATCCCCGCCACTGGGAACACCGTGAGGATCCATGTACGTGTAGCGTGTTGCTCGAAACGTAATGCCCCGGAGTGTAATGTTCACGACGGGATTCCACTGGGTCCCCGTTGCATTGACCAGTGTGCGCAACTGTGGCACGACCATTTCGGTATCCGGTGGAGGTGCTCCGGTCCCATTGTACCAGAGGTACAATTTGTGGGTGCGTGGGTCGTAATAAAATTCGTTGGGACTGTCCAACTCTTCCAGTAAATTCTCAATAAACCAGTCCCCGCCTTGTTTTTCTCCCCGCGCACCCTGATTGCCGCCGGCTCCAAATGTCACGTGTTGGGTTTGATTATTGTAGGCGCCAACACGAAACATCCAATTGGCCCATCGGGCCGGTCTCCAGACAAAAATGCGGGCATCCTCTTGCATACTTTGGTCGGAGTAATAGGGTCCATTGGGTAGTACAGCCGCGTCTTTGGGCGTCATGCCCGAAGGAGTAATAAAGGCAAATGCGCCACCTCCCGACGGATGTTCGGAACACCAGTACGAGACGGGAGGATCGTAGACATCGCAGGGACCGTGAACGCCAATGGTGTAGTGTTCAAACCATCCTCCATTGGGACGCGCTCGCGTTTTGTTCGAGTCGGTATAGTGCACGACCTTTTGTTTTTGTTTGTTGGCGTTCTTCGGTGGATCCCAAGTAGCTTGATTGCCGGGGATCATGCAGCCGTAGCCACAGGAGACTTCAATGCCACCGTCCATGTTGGGGTATCTGGCTACGGTGGAACGGACCCCGTTGATTTGAAGACCCGGCATTTCCCCGTCCAGCTGATTGCCCAGGCTTGTCACCCAAATGTTGGTCTTGTTCTTGTTGTTAGGAGGATGATAGGGTTTCCACTCGTTAATGATTTGCAGTGGTATACCTCCACTAAACGTGGGCGATTCCCCTGGATAGGCCAGAATTTGCAGTCCACTGTGTTGAGGTGTCAACAACAGTGTTTGATTCAAATAAAAGACTCCTTCTCGGACCCTGACATGCTTGGAAGACGTATGTGTGGCAGCATAGTCCACAGCTTTTTGGAGGGATTGAAAGGGACTTGAAAGTGTGCCACTATCTACATCATCATCCGTTCCATCCACTGCCACAAACACGGCATCTGGGGGGATACTGGCAATTTCTTCGTGTCCTTTTCTCTTCAGGTGACGACGACTTGTGGCTGTTCCATCCCTTGTCAACAATTCGCCATGTTCATCTTTCGAGAGGTCCACATTGCAATGCTTGAGATCCAATGCCCAATACAAGGCTTCAAATTTTCCATGCCGAGGAATCAACTTTTTCCCATAGGCATAGGCTGCTTTACGCATTTCACAATCAAACGAAGCCGGAACATGGTCCTTGTTGGAAGCTCGCAGTGGCCATTGCCTTGCTTGAATACTGCTGAGAATACCCAACCAGACGGTCACCAGGAGTTTCAGAGGAGTAGCTGGTAATAAGGACGTCCTGCTGGTCATCATCATGGGGTTGTGTTGTGTCTATAGACTACAACATACAAAACCTTTAGAAAGAAGAAGCACAGAAAAAGATGAATGATGATGGTTTTTGGTGTCAATAGTCTAAAATGAAAGATCCCAAATAAATAAAAATCTTTTCTGAGTTGCGTCATTCATGTGACTTACCAGTCCAAACTTTAAACATGAACATTCATGATTGGATTGTCTTTCCAGGTGGAACTTTCGTAAAAATTGTGTGACAAATAATTCTCAGAATTCTGAGTTGAACGAATGCTGAAAATGGCCTCGGAATAATGAGGGTTCTCATATTAGGAACGGAGTTTTGACAACTGGTTTGATAAGATCGTACAAGTAAGTAGCTTGTTTACCATACTTCTGGCGCGTTTTCAGAATCATTTGCTGAGTGTGGAAGCAATGGAACATGGTTCAGCGGGTATCTTTTGTCATTGTTTACACTGTTCAACTTGAAGTGGATGGCGTACACATTGCTAAAGTCTGTTACGTAGGTGTCATCATGGAATGACGGGTTGAAAATGCCGGAAAAGGGGAAAACACAGAAATCTAAAGGGATCTTTTGTATCTTCGCTCACTGGTGACGGAACTTGTGAGCTGCTTGGACATGCTACCATTGCCTGATCTCACGGGCTCGTAGAGTCTCTTTTAGAGCCTATCCACGGCTGTTTGAGGAAGAACAAAATCTTGTTTATTGTAGTCGGACATTTAATGTACCCGCTTCTTTACTGAAACAAGACTGTGTAATCGAGTACTCCTGTACCTAGTTAGTACCCAGTTGATTTCCCCTTTAACCGTGAGGAATGAAGAAGCCATGCTTCCTTCTTTCTCGGAGGAACCAACACAAAAAGCAAGTGCGTCTTGGTCCACTTCAACTCTTGTAAGCTGCAGGAGGTTAAAACTTGTAACGCTCGTCTAAGTAGACTGTTGTAGATCGTGGATGACATGATACAATATTTTGCACTCTCATCAGCTTCCCCGCTTCCGCTTCCAACCTCAGCATCAATTCCCGCCTGGATCAAAATGGAAGGATCGAGATGGGCTGTCTTTATGTGACATGGGCGGATACCCCTTTAAATCTACATCCTAATACATTCACTTGTTTCTTGGCAAGGCCTTGAACCATCTCTTATTTATTTAATGTAGAAACGCTTATCTTATGGCCATACCAGGCGTTAATTAAGCATCTTTAAAAGAAGGTTTCGAGATTTTAGAACTGGGCGTCCGCGTTGGATTGAGATTTGGTTGGTACAGAGAAGGCCTTTCGTCACAGCATCTTCCTAACTTTTTCCAAGCAGAAGATCCATATCATGATGCCAACATGTTGTTGTAATCTATTTCCTGTACAAATCTGTTTTCTGTGGTAGAGATCGTTACTCACTCTACACATTGGCAGCTTGCTTGCTCACTCATATCCAACATCCATCATCAGCCGCGTGAGAGAGAAAGAGGCTTCTTCAAATTTTTCCTTCTCACTCAGCTACCCCAATCAATCATTCATAATTTTGTTTTGGGTGCAAAGAAAAGAAACGCACACAAGCAACCACTCGTTTGTTGTGGTCTCTTTCTTTTTTCCTTTTTTCTTCTGATTGATTGATCTTCCACCATGGTCGAATTCGGTACTCTCATCCCCCCCTTCACCCAGTACCAGTACCAGGACTCCTTCTTCGGAGGCGAGGCGCCTCTGAGTGTTGGAGTTGGTTACGCTGTTGTGCTTGGTTTCGGTCTCTTCTTCAGTATCCTTACCACCATCATTGTCTACGTCAACCGATTCTTTGGATCCAAGGGAGATATCACCTCGGAACATTTCAAGTAAGTTGAAGAAGAAGAAGAAGATGATTTGCTTTTTTGTTGCTACCCAAAACTAACCATTTTGTGATTATCCTACCAACTACACTACAGCACTGCTGGACGTATGATCAAGACCGGTTTGACCGCCAGTGTGATTGTCAGTCAATGGACATGGGCCGCTACCCTTCTCCAATCCTCGAATGTTGCCTGGGCTTACGGTGTTTCGGGTCCTTTCTGGTAAGCAATCATCATGGTCGCAGCTCATTTATTTGTCACACAAATTTCGAAATGGCTTGCCCGCTCGCCTATGTGACATGCCAAACACATGTTCTGCCGTTGAACACAGTCTCTCACACATCCCCTTTCTATTTGCTTGCTACCCCAATTGCTGTTCTATTTTATTATAGGTATGCCTCTGGAGCCACCATTCAAGTGTTGCTCTTTGGTGTCTTGGCCATTTCCCTCAAGAAGGTCTCTCCCTCGGCCCACACTGTGGCTGAAATTGTCAATGCACGATGGGGACGCAATGCCCACTTGACATTTCTCTTCTTTTGCTTCATGGCCAACATTATTGTTACATCCATGCTTTTGCTGGGTGGAGCTGCCACTGTCGAAGCCTTGACCGGTATGGATTACAGGCTGGCATCCTTTCTTATCCCCTGGGGTGTCATTCTCTACACTGCTTCTGGAGGTCTCCAAGCTACTTTCTTGGCCAGTTACATCCACACTGTCATTATCTACGCCGTCTTGATTACCATGATTTTCATTGTCTACGTCAAGGTGTACTCCAGTGATGTCATTTACGACTTCCTCGACCGAACTGTCACCTACAGCCTCGACGAATGTAAGGAAATCTTTAGCGATAAAGATGGAGTGACTTTCTTTGAACCACAAAAGTATGCTTGCGGTCCTGTCCCCAAGAACCACGACGGATCCTACTTGACCATGCTCTCCGGTGACGGTCTCATGTTTGGAGTCATCAACATTGTTGGAAACTTTGGAACCGTCTTTGTTGATCAATCCTACTGGCAATCTGCCATTGCTGCCCGCCCCAGCAGTGCTGCCCGTGGTTACTTGCTTGGAGGGTAAGTCGATCCGTCATTCGAATCGATGGATGGAATCCGTTCGCCCAACAAGACGCAACAAGATGCATCGATACTAACATGACACCTTCTCTGTTAATTTTTTGCCTTGCAGAATTTGCTGGTTCGCCATTCCCTTTTCTCTTGCCACCTCTTTGGGTCTTGCATCCACCGCCTTGATGCTTCCCATTACCGCTTCAGAAGCTGGAAGTGGTTTGGTCCCACCTGCTGTCGCCACCCACTTGATGGGAGATGCCGGTTCTGCTTTGATTCTTGTCATGCTTTTCATGGCTATCGTGTCCACTGGATCTGCCGAGTCCATTGCCGTCTCATCCTTGGTCGCATACGATATCTACCGTGAATACATCAACCCCGAAGCCACTGGTGATGATATCCTCAAGGTCTCCCGTATTGTCATTGTCGCCTTTGGTCTCTTTATGGGTGTCTTCTCCATTGTCCTTTTCGAAATTGGACTCAACTTGGGATGGGTCTACTTGTTCATGGGAGTCGTTATTGGATCTGCCGTCATTCCTCTCTGGAACATGATGACATGGAGCAAGGCATCCGGCACTGGTGCCATTATTGCTGCCTGGTCCGGACTTTTGCTCGCTATTATTGGATGGCTCTGTGCCGCCAAGATCCACGGTGGCTCTGTCTCTGTTGCCACTCTTGGAGCCAACGAGGTCATGCTCAGTGGAAACTTGATTGCCATCTTGTCCTCTGGTGCCATCCACTATGTGTACTCTGTCTTTATCGATCCCCAAGAGTACGACTTTGCCGAACTCGATCAACACATCACTTTGGTCGAAGAAGACAACCGTGGTCTTACCGATGAAGAGAAGAACCCCGTCGAACTCCGTCGTGCCGAACGCTGGATCACTCGTCGTGGATACGTCCTTACACTGGTCCTCATTGTCATCTGGCCTCTTCTCTCCGTCCCTGCCGGAAAATTCACACAGAGTTACTTTGCCTTCTGGGTCTTGGTTGCCATTGCCTGGGGTTTCGGAGCTGCCATTATCATCACTGTCCTTCCTTTGGCCGAATCTCAGGAAGATATTGGAACGGCTCTCACTGGAATCTGGAACATGATCACTGGACGCGAGGCAGCCCGCCCCGAAGGATTCGACGAACAACAGGAAGGACTTGTTGCTGGAGGCGCACCCAAGACTGTCGGTGAGGATGATGAAGAGGCAATTTCTCCTGTCGCCAAGATGGAAGAAGAAGAAATTGTCCACGAGGTGGATGCCTAAACTGCCTGGCAGCTACTACACTGCTCCTCTGTGTTGCTCTGTTGGCAACGAGACGAGCATAATTTTCTATGTGATGCATGTAATGCTTGGCGGGAACTGTTTTGCAGGATGTTTTGATTTTTCTCTCTCCGCGGTTCTTTGCTTTGAGCCAATTTTCATATCAACAAGACAAGACCAAAATGTTGATGGATGCTAAAAGTTCGAGGAAAGTGTCTCTATTTTTGGAGTGGCGATGCCTGGAATTTTGTGAAGAGCCCAGCAACCAAAGCTAGTGGAGACATTTACCTGGTAGTTTAAAATTAGCATCCATTGTTTTTGAACTGTTGCACTGTTTCGTGCCACTATCGCCACTGTCCATCCACCGAGATCAGCCATGTCGCGACGTTCGTAGGGAAGGTCCATTCGTAGTGGCTGGTACCTGGGTAAGGCATCAGTTCTATTCTTCCTCCTGCGGGGGACTTGCCATGGTTGGTCTGTCTAGCCATCTATCGTATCTTCGTCAAGATATAGATGATCTTGAATGCTGATGTAGGGATTGCATCATGGCCACTGTGGGAGCGAAACGAAAGCAATCTAGAGCTGTAATGCACCAACGCAGGGATCGCACTGCAGTGCTTGGGCTTGCCATCCTAGTATATCCCGTTGATGGGGCCAACGAGGAAACTAGCTATCTGGCTAGCTGTCGGTGGCAGCGGTCTGGCTACCATAGCTGTCGGTGGCATCGGTTTGAAGTCAGGGAGACCTAGAGTACGGCCCGGTAGAGGTGCAAAACCGGCTGATCGAGTTTTATTGTTGGCTAGCTGGCAGGGTTGCTACCGAATCAAGAAAGTAAACCCCAATTGAACTACTAATTTCATGTGCTTTGTGCCGTTCGCCACTACTTCTTCAGGTTAACAAGGCGTAGCTAGCTAGACTAGCTAGCTAGCCAGCTACATCATGTATCAGGCATCAGAGGCAGGAGTCGAGTCGAGTCGAGTCGAGTCACTGGGATGCTGAGAAAAAGGACGCAGCATTGGATTTGTGGCTTGGCTGCGCTCGCCCTGCAGTGGCATGAATTTTGTCGGAATGGCGCCAACCTGGAGCGCTCCACCAAACCCAACACCCCAAAATCTTTTCTCTCATTCTGAACCGCATTATTGACCAAGCTGCTCTACTAATCAATCGTTTAGTTTGTTTTGTTTATGCACTGTAACCATGGCCGACGGATTTTTTCATCGCCTGAACGCGGCAATGCTGCAAACTGGAAACTATTCTGGCCAGCTCTCTAGCTTTGTGGGCAAAGTCAAGAACCTGCAACTCGGCAATCAAACACTCGAGTTTGAGGCGTGCGATGGTGGTATTATCAATATGGACTTGTCCAGTGCGGAAATGCCCGAGCAAGAAATCGCTGGTGATCTCGTCTGGGAGGTCATGGGTATTCCGGACGAAAACAATGGAGTGACGGTGCGTACCGTACTTGTGTCTATAAGAGCGGACGTCATGGCATGAGTGTCCACTTCTTTTTTTTTTTGCATCCTTGTTTCGTCATTGGCTAACTTCTCTTTGTTTGTCTCCTCTGCTCTTCTAATCGCATTGTTTTTATGGGGACAGCTGTTTGTGATGAGAGAACTCTCGAGCGATACCAAATTGGATTTGTACAACAAGATGCTGCCCGTGCTCCATAACCCCAAATTTGCAAATTATTTTGTGCCAGCCGGAGTGGGCGGTCAATAGACAAACAGAAGAATTTCTACATGCGCCATTGGGGAATTAAAAGGATGAAAGGAAGGCCGAACCGAGACAAACAATCCGCTGCATTCTGAGAAATACTTCTTCACCATCAAATCAGACAAGAGAAACTGGATGTTGGGACTAGAGAGATTTTTTTATCTGGAGTGTAATATCGTGTGTGGTCTTTTTCGCTGAGTCGAGTCCAAACATTTAAAAAATCAATATACAAAGCAGACAATTCTCGCACATGCGTAGAACTACTTGGTTTTCATGAGTGCCCGTTTGAGTTGACCTCTCGTGTCATTTCGGCTGGACGTATTGTGCATGTAGGGCGGTTGGACGTATTCTGGCTGTAGGAGCAGCACACAGATCGACTGAGCGCCTTTGGCATCTCGTAGAACCTTGATTTGTTACAGGAACCTTGGTCGAGGTTCTGTAGCAGTCCTGGCCACAGAACTGAACCTTGCCGGTAATATCGCAATTGGAAAGCAAAGCGGAAGTAGCTGGGCTAAAACCGAGATGCAACTGCCTGGCTAGATCAATTTATCGAATGTTTGCTCCACCATTTTCTAGAGGGGTCATCTTTGCTTTGGTCCTTCATGCAAGACACGGGTTGTCCCTTTGGCCGTGGCTGGGTGTCCGTCCTGTCGTCCTGATGCCATTTTCTAGGGGTCGTCTTTGTTTGGCTTGCTTGACTGCAAGCCATGGGTTGTGTTTTTGGCCGTGGTTGGATGTCCATCCTGGGTTCTGATAAGACAGCGTCATGCTCTCTGTGGCCGCACCATGCAGCAACTCAAAGATTGCATCTGGCAATTGGCAGCAAAAGTTGTGGCAGGAATTGAACCTGCACCCTCCGCTGAATAGAGACAAGCTGTTTCAGTTGAAATCAGCAAGGAAGAAGCGATGCTCTGTCCATTTGAGCTACACAACCTTTGTATGCTTGCTTCGAAGGTATCTCCAGACCCATATAAAGCTTGAGAAAAGCTCCTGTCTGAATGCGAAACGTGGATGAAAGCGATGCATTTGAAACCCGTGTGGTACAACGTGGAAAACTTGCGAACCGTGGAAATTTCACAAAGATCTTTCGTTCCGAAACAACCCCAACGATGGCAAGGGCGAAAATTGCAACTCAACCGATGCCTTGTTATCGAAAGTATTGCATGAATTAGGAGCTTCGGGAGTGGAAACGGATCCACAAGACTCGACAAAGATCTATTCTTGTAGACGATAGTCTGCAGCGTACAGTGGCGTTTGAAAATAAAAAGTGTCTTTCGCAACAATGCTAATGCAATCTCGGAGAGTATTTGCATGTCCCTCACCTGGGCATTCATTCCAAAAGGAGGCGACCAAAGCCGCTGCCTTGATTGATTCCAGGCAGACCACCGCTGGAGCCAGTTCGTAAGAAAGACAATGGGTGACCACACCAAGAAGAAGAAGAAAGACAAGAAGACCAAAGGGGACAAAGATGCGGCGAAGACTGCGGGCGGAGGAATGTTTGCAACATTTGTAAAGACCAAGGAAAAGACCAAGAATAAGGACAAGAAGAAAGACAAGAAGAAGAAAAAGAAGAGTGACAAGAAGGACGAGAAACAAGGAATCAAATGGGAGTCGCCCGAACATTCGTCCAAAGTGGGGGGCAAGAAGAAAAAGAAAGTCAGGCTTGTTACGGATGAGAAACACATCAGGGAAGAAGAGAAGCAGAAAATGCCTCGAGTTCAGCAGCCAATGTCTCGAGTTCAGCAGCTACGAGAGCAAGAAGATCAAGCGAGCCTCGAACCGCAGGTAGACCAAGCCAGCCTCGCACCACACGTGGAGCGAGAAAACTTTGTAGAACAGGAACAAAGGGAGATCGACAACATTGAACGCCACAGACAAGAGCATGAAGCGGAGGAGTCTGTTGCTCAAGACAGCATTGAGCTACATCGAGAAGTGTTCGAAGAGGCTCAGAGCCTGAAGCTTCACGAATGGTACGAAGAGGAGAGCTTGGCAGCTGACCTGGAAAGCCTCAAGCGCAAGCCCTGGTATCAACAGATGAAAGAACGAGAGGAAAACGCGATGGTACAAGCATGCTACAACGCGGTAGGGATTGCACCATCGCCCATGGCATTCCAAGAAATTGAAGAAGAGGAGGACGACGAGGACGACGAAGAGGACGAGGAGGACGATGTGACCGACCTCGCCGATGCCAACGAATATAATCACCAGCACCAGGAGCAGAGACCCTATTTGCAAGTGGGCGAGGAGAACGCTTCCAATGACGTGACGGAAGGCGATGACACTGCTGAGCGTACGGCAAGCACTTCCAGCAGTAGCAGCAGTGATGAAGACTCGGTAGATGCGGCAAACGAAGCCTACCAATTTGCTCTAGGTCGTCAGGACGGAATGCGTCTCGACTTTAGCAGATTCGATGCTCCCAGACCCATACCGTTGGAGGACGATCGTGAGCGGTTGGAATATGCCCGTCGCAGTGTGGAGCGCATGATGAAGATCGAGGAACTTCGCAAAAGTCGTGAAGAACTCAGATCCAAATTGGAAGAAAAACGGCGACGTCGCAAAGAGCGCTATGAGCGCATTCAGAATGGCGAGCTGACGCCAAAGTCACTGAAACGACATCATGGCACACTGAAGGAAGACGTTTCCCTTTTGTCTTATCCCGAAACATTTCTTGTGGACTTGACCAACATCAACGACAACTATCGACACAACGGCTATGCTCAACACCGAGTGAAGGAGAGGGAGCAAGAACCGCAATACCACTTTAGCCATGGCGACCACCTCCTGTCGTTCAAGGTTCAAAGTTTCCAGGAAGAGATTCCTGTGATTGTCGACTTGTCCAACCAACGCAAGCCGCAACAGATTCTAGATTTGACGAATATCGAAGAACCACCGCTCCAAGTCCACGACCCATTTACCCATCACTTGGTGCCACCTCTTCCACCCAACCACAGAATAGGTTATTTGCGACGAGATCGGGAAGAAAAGCTACATGAAATGACGCAAAAGTACCAGGAGGTGATCCACAAGAAGATCTCCCCAAAGGAAAGACGCGACGAAGCCTTGACAACCTATCAACGGTTGATGGAACGAGTCACTCGCAATGTTCGTAAGAATGTTTGCGTGTAGCTCTAGCTAGCAATAAACGGAAAGGGCCCGATTCTAGTGTTGGCAGGAACATGTACAGTACTTTTCCGTTCCAAACAAACAACAGTTCCCTTGCGGTGTCATCTATTAATAAGATTCTCCTTCTTCTTGACCATTTTGACATTGTATCGATCGTGTAGCCCCTTGTACTGTGAGAGTGGATCAAAGTCAATTGTTTCGACAGACCCTGGTTCCACATGCTCCCCATAGTAATAATATGCCAGTGCATCGGATGTCCACCATTCCCTGGCCACTCCACCCCAATCACCGACTTGACATTGTGGTGGTGAGATGGATTCCACAATAATCGTGGCACCAGGTTTGGCAATGCGCAGCATTTCGGTAACCCACATGGCAAACCAATTTTCGATGAGTGCTTGTTCTTGTCGTATCAATTCCTGTTTGGTGGGATCCTTGCAGTACCGCTTGTGTTGTCCATGACTCCATTGGAGATTGAGTGGATCGGTAATGGGATCGATGTACCCTGTGAATACGAGATCAAACGCATTGGAGGGTACAAAGTCTAGGTTCGTGGAATCACCGAGACAAATGCGTCCCAACTTTGGGTGAGGCAATGATGATGTAGTGTTGTCTTGTTGGTCTTGCCGTTGCTGTTGCTGCAGATAGAACCGATTGGCCGTAATGACATTGTCTGCAATGTACTCATTGCCATAGACTTCCAAGCCAGTAATGTTGTACTGTTCTGCCAGCAATTCCAAAATGACATAGAGTGTCAATCCTACACCACAGGCACTTTCGTAAATGGTTGTGCTGCCCTCTGCGGTTGCGTGCAGCAATAATGCATCGGCATACCAATGAACCCATTGTGCATTCACAGCTTTGCGTTGATGGGGGGTGATCCCCCAGGCACCATACTTCATGTCCAAGAGTTCTGCGATGGCCCTGTCTTGGACGCGCGTGTGTTTTTCGGTATCTATATTGTAAAAATCAAACACTCCATCCTTGTCATTGGTGGCCTGGTCAATGTTCGTTGGACACGTGTAGGCGACACTGGCTGCCACGCTCTGATTGAGCAAGGCGTCCTCTGCTTCATTGGAGTAGTAGTGCACCATGGAAGCATTGAAATGAGACCCTTTGTCGTCTTTTTCGTGATGATGATGGCGCTTTTTGGCCGCACGAAGGATCCGTACAAACCGAACGAGCCACACCACAAACCCCACAACAAAGACAATGGCAACCGTTTTGGCAACCCAAACCCCCAATGGCCGATTCCATACCACAATGGCGTTTCTTTTTTTTCTAGTTCTGTTTCTTCGATGATCTTTGGGTTTCGTCTTGCTTATCTCGTCGTCGTCGTCGTTTTTTCGCCCCTCCACCAACAAGCCTTGAAATTCCACATGTTCCGACTCTTCATCATCATCATCATCCACGTCATTGCGACTACTAGTATGATTCCGCTTGGTTTTGCTCAAATAATCGACAATCTCCAAGTCAAGACCGTTTTCCTTCTCTCGCTGCCAGTGTCTACTCCTGGGCATTGCCACTAAGCTTGATCTCCTACCGTACGACTGCAGCTGCTACCGGTAGCGAGCTACCTGTATCAAGTAAGTTGAGACTGCCTCCTGATAGAAGACTGGATGCTGCAGTGAGACAGTGAGACAGTGATACTGCGACTCCATGGCGGCAATGAATCTTTGGGGTCGCACACTTCTCTCCAGAAACAAAAGATTGCACATTGCTTCCAATCAGTGACGTGGAATGAATGTGAAGCAGCGCGTCACTCGTTTCAGTCGACACCAACGGAAGAAGAAAATGTGGCTCAAACCAACTGAAATTGTCCTCTACCGAGTTTTCCCGCAGGCGATGGAGGGACTTGATATGAGGTGGTAAAGAGTACACAAAAATGTTAAAAGGTAGGTGGTAAACAAATTTTAAAACAGGCTTTTAAACAGGTGGTCAAATAAATGTGGTTGAAGTCGGTTGAAGCTGGTAAACTATGCACAAAAGTGGTTTAGGGTGATGTGGGAAATAGTAAGTTGATTTGAACCACTCCCCTGTGCAGCATCTGTTCGTACTCCTCCGACAAAATGTTAGAGAATTGCTTTTGTTCTTTGAGAAGCACTGACGATGATGACGACGTCGATTGTTTTGTCCAGAATATAGAAGCTGCTTCTGACCTTATGAAAATAAAAGAACCTCGCGAAGCCTACAGTACTCCTGAGTTGCCGCACTGAGTTCAACCAAAAGCTGCTGTTACACTTTCGCAGAAAGTCGATGTAGTCACAATGTCATAGTCACATACAAACTTGCTTATGAATCAGCTGCTCTTGTTCACCACTGTTGATTCTCAGTACGAGATTAAAGTGGGTTTTGGATGGGACCATGCTTTATCCAGTGTAAATTTCTTGAAAAACATTTTTAACCCACTTTGTACTGTATAGATTGTCCCAAATGACTAACTTACCTAACAACAAGTCGCGAATTTCAAGCAATTTCACTCATAGGAATACCACTGTGTTGCTCATGTTAAACAGACAAACTCTAGTTTAGTTTATATGTTAAGGCTTGATCCCCTTCTGCTACTTATATTGAGTTTAGGGTTTAATTGTGCACGGACACTTTCTAAGTCATTCTCCTAAAAAGTGACTGGGACAACAGCCCTTTAATCATTTGTACTGTGTTTTATACAGTAAATTGGTGTTGTCCCAAAACGCCCGTGCAAAATGCACTTTAATTCTGTACTCCAGTAATATTAAAGAGAGAGACCACTGGAACACATGTTATAATACACACTACTGATACAGTCGTACCCTTAATACTTTACTTCAAGGACTCGTCGAGGTTCGAGCGCGCAAGACAGATTGGTTATTGGTTTGAGGTACGTGGATTAAAACGGAGCACAGTAAAAAAGACAAAAAAAAGATTAGTACTGAATACCAGTGTCTCATCTAATATTATTATGTAAACAGAAAGAGGTGGTGCGCTACTCTACCGTAGCACTAAAGAGAATTTTGTACTTCTGAGTAACCTTGGGTTTAAGTTTGTTTGTTGGTATCCATATTCCTCTTTTGTACTCGAGTATCCACTATCCTTGAACGGAGAGATTATAACATGCACCTTGGACCTCCATGGTTCCGGCCATCCTGGCATTTCACCGCCAATTTCGAATCATTCAGCAGATCGCTCTTAACTAGTACGGTACCGGCAATAGGAAATGTGCGGTAAAAAGGCACCGGTATCAAATTGCCTCTTGCTTGGTTGCGAAGCAACATAGTCTGCTCGCTATAATAGTAACTTTAGTAGAATGCAATTCGTAAAAGTCTTATGGTATATCTAAAATTTAAGGGTAAATCACGACTTCTTCAAGTGGGTCCCAAGTTCCAGCGACTTTTTGAAGGGCAGTCTATAAATGTCCGAATAACACCCACCTTCTCACTTACTTTCTTCAGCTCCTTCTTCATCGATTTTCTTGGTTATTGCTCTTTCTTCAATGTGATGCACGTGCCAAACGAATCGAATCAAGTACGCCAGCTGTCTTTTATGGCCCAAGCGAAGTCACTGTTCCAAGCCTTCCACTTTTCCTTTTCTTCGATAAGATGATGCGAAAAGAAGCATTGATTTATTTTTAGGTTTTACTGTACTGAGATTCTGGACATAAATGTCTAAATGCCTGAGTCGCATTAAAAAAATTAATATAAAATTATTAGACGACTCGATTCTGCACAGGAGAGCTGCCACTATTTCAACTGAATTCCCGGACTCCCGTAAAATCACAGGAAAGGGCATAGTCACTGTACCGGTACTATTAGCTAACTCGTGGGACTTTTAATTTTTAATTACGGTACTCTTGAAGCTGACGAGGTTACCCCCATATCCCAGACAGATTTTTTGGAGTTCCCATTCCTCAGACTAGAGGGGCTCAGGGGAGGCAGCGAATTAAAGAGCTGCCACTAGACTATTAACAAATCTATACTCAGAAACAAGGAAGTTGCTGTCACACTGTCACACTTACTATACAAACGGTAAGGCTTTACTCAGCGGTTCACGGCATGCTATTCTTCCGCGTTTGTACAACTTTCTACTCAGCTCTAGAATCCTGTTATTTAATAGTTGCAGAGCAGCTTTTCGAGTAGCTTTGGCATCGTGGATGCTGCGTGGATTGGCTATTTTTTTTCACGTCCACATCCAGCTATTCTGGAGGATAATGACCACCGTCGCAGAATGTTGAACGATCTTTCATGCCAGGAGTAGTCTTGACGGCACGCGCCATGGTCCCACTGTACCATTCATGTGGAACTTGAACGGGGTGACCAGTCACTAGCTACGTACGTGCAGTAAGTACCAGAAGCAGCCGCGCCAGCACGCTAGCACCGCGCTTGACCACAAAACTCGAGAAGGGTGGTTTTCTCCTTCCAACTTCATGTAAACTGAGTTCATATTTTTTTTTTCGGGGAGGGTCCACGTCGTCAACCAAGAATTACTAGCGGTACTAATAGCTCTCGCTATTCATTTGCTAGTCTAGAAGCTATCATTGCGCTAAGAGACAGGAAGAACAACACTTGTTTTCCCATTGACACTTGCCGTTTCATACTGAATTGGCCGTTTCATTATCAACGTTGGTTGGGTAATCTTGTTAATAATAATACCCACAGCTCGCTCTACTGATCAACATTTGATCATTCGCCATGCAATTTGAAAGCTCAGAAGCAATGGTCATCATCCAGACCATTCTCAGCACCGTTGAGACGAAGATCCTCCCCAGTGTGGAAGCAAAGGAATTTTTTCAGAGAAATCCATTCTCCACATCCCTTGTAAGTTGCTTTGGTTTGTTGCTGCTTCTTTTCCGCTCAGTTCAATGAAGCAAAGCTCACACATTTTTTTTGGTCCTGTCTTTTTTGTCGGTTTCTGTTGTAATCTCTTCACACAGAGGGAAGCTGGGAGGCATCCAACCTACAATTCCAGTTTTGCAAACAGCTTGTTGCATGGAGTCATTCTTCCGTCGTTGACTCGGGAATCGGCAACCGCTCCGTGTGCAGGCTTCATCATTGGGATGAGTTTTGGACAGCAGCGCACTCTTTGGGAGCACCATGGGCTGGGCATCATGGTGCATAAGGCTCACTGCGTCTGGCGGGAGCATTACGTCAGCAGGATTCAGCAAGCTGTCGGTGAGTTTCCTCCAAGTTCCACAGGCCAGGGCACGAGGCGCCCATGTGCGATCGACTCGACTCGACTCGTCACTCGCCTCAATGACTCCTCAGTCCCAGTGATTCGACACCCTTTTCATTCCCTCTTTCGTTTCTGATTTTCGCTTTTCATTCCACATTGCTCCCCCTTCGCTTTCCACACTGCCCCCACACCTCCACTTTGTTTTGCCCGTCCCATTGCTGGAGTATAGACAACTTCCTTACTTCCGGGAAAGCTTCCACCTCCAAGAAGAATATCAAGGCAGCTCGCGAGCTGTTCTCTGCTTCCGAGCAAGAGTCTCCAAGTCGCCCTCTCTTCTACGAGGGCGTGCAGGACGTCCTCAAGACACTGTACACTTGTCCCGAGAGGGCCTCGGGAACTGCACTCCGCGCTGGCGACAGTGATGACAAGAAGTTGTGGGGCCATCAGTTGCATGCCCGCTCCATCCGGGATGTCTTCTCGCTGCAAGAAGAAGCCTTTGTCCTTTTGACCATCCGCAAGCACTTGTTGATTACGTTTGGCCGTCGCATGTACGCGGTTGTCGCGCCTCGCTCGCAGCCTTTCATGCCGCAGCCAATCGCAGTGACGGACCATGGTTCCTTGGCTGTCCTACCTGACTTTTTGGCACCGGCTCCAGCCCTTCCTGCCATGATCGATGATGATGACGAAGTGGCAGCCTCGACACAGGTAGTTGCCCAGGATGTTAAGTACTACCGCGGACTCCTCAAAGCGTTGGAGCTTCAGGAGTCGCTCAAGGAGGTCTCGGTTCTCTTCAACTTGTACGACGTGTTTTCTGCCTTGCCTGCTAGTAGCAGCAGCAGCAGCAGCAGTAGTGAAGACGAAGGAAGCATGTCATCATCATCAGGGAGTGATGAGTCTTGCTCTTCTTCCAAAGGAACAACACAACGTCGTCTCAAGAAGGTCTCGAAGGTCTCGAAGGACGGGCCCAAGAAGGCATGTGCTCGCAGGAAGCTTCGCTTGAGGCCGCGCCCTGCGGGTTTCATGTAAGAAGCAATTTTAGGTCACCATTCCTGCCGGTCGGTCGGTCGGTTGGATGGAAGACCATTCCAGCGGCGATCTTGTCTCCATGACAAGACGTTGCATTTTTAAAAGATACAGCAAGAAGAAGGACCCCGAGGGCGGGGTCGATGTGTGTGGATACGTAATAATGGTTCAGGGATTTCGAAGGTTTAGGCGACAAGATGTCGAAGCCAAGTTGCTCGAGGGCCTGTTTGTCTGTGGGAACGATGACGGGAAGGGATGACAAACAGAAGAAAAAGACAGCAACTGGGGTGAGGGAACACGGAAGCGGACCAGCAACCAAGGGCACAGATCAGGAAAGAACACTGCAGGTTGCTGGGATGCGTTTCAAACAAAAAACCAGGGAACTCAGAAATGAACACTCTATGAGAACAAATGATAGTGTTTTGTGGGGGGAATCAAATACCTTTGTGGTTGGGAACGAAAATCGCGGGATTTCCTTCTGGTGTGGAGGACCAGAAGATTGCATGCTGCCAAAGCGCGCAAAAAGAAATGGGAAACGACGACGAAGTGGACGAGCGGTGACCGTCCCAATGCAAACATTCAATATAGCTTAAGAAAAAATATAAAAAGGAAAAAATGGGACACAAAAACATGTCTTCATACAGCGCAGCAGCGGAGTGCTGGCCACAGCCCGTTGTGTTGGCCAATCCATGCGTTGCTTGCTCCTCGTTACAGCACCGGCATGAGCAAGAGCATTCCTTGTTGGTGTCGGAGTCACTCGCAGAAAACCTTCCGCCAAACCCTGCGACCGAATCGAATCAATCAATCGACACAAGCCATTCGGCTATGAGCTTACCTGCGCTTGCGTTTCACGTTTCACCTTTGACGCAGTGCTCATGCTCATGTCGCCACACCCAACGAGCTGAAAGGGACAATCACCGACCACATCCAAAAGTAGATTCAAATACAACAGAGGCTGATGTGTGATCCACAAGGATATGACCCAGACAGCTCTTACGATTGGTGGCATGAGTCCATGAGCGATAGTCAACGACAGTGTCATGTGAACAAGTTGCTGTGTGGTCATGGACCGTCATGGTCAGCAAAAATTGAGCCTGCTCACCCACTCCGTCAAAGTGAAGCGCATTGTTTACCACTGAGTAATGTAGATTCCGATTAAACTTTATCGATGATGTGCATTCTACAATGCCGTATTTAGTAGGACAATCGGAACAGATCCCGCAACGAAAACGTTACACCAGCACTCCTGCAGCGCGCAGAGAACTTTTTCGCCGGGACCAATGGTTGCGACAGGCTTATCGAAAGCATATTACGCCTCTTTCAACTTGTCAAGATCCTTGTTGCGTTGGCATGGTGCCTTCAAGTCTTACGTACATATATACATGTTTCCACTGGCTCTTGACGGACGGTAGCAAGGAGGAACGAGGAGCAATTCACCGCTGTCGCCGGTACCGGTACCGGTACCTGGTAGCTATATACAGGTTCACCCGTCATTGCTAGCTAACAACAGCTCATATTATGCACGTGATTCCCGCCTTACGTACTTCGCTGGGCGTGTATGAAATGCCACAACGCGATTTTAGACTGGTAGTTTGCAAGGCAGGAGATTCCTGTTGGTCCCCCCCGTTGGTCTGGTGGCTGGCATTGGCTATTGGCTTTTGTCCTTCTTGTTGCTTTTATCCTTCCACAACCGGAACACAATAACCAATGGCTGGATGCCTTGTTGCTGACTACGTACTTGCAAGCCTTCCAACAACGCTTGAAGTCATCACGTTCCCTAGTAGCTGGCTTGTGGCCCATCACTTTGAAGGCCTTCGTTTCGGTTCGATTGGAGCGAAGGCAGGCAGGTCGCGCAATGATTCTCGGTAACGGTCAGATCAGGTACCTGGTACTGCATCCAAGCCCCCAAAGCCAAAATCTAAAATTCTTTTCGACCACCTACCAAAGTCAACGCCAACAAAACTCAATATTCATATTCCCAAATGAGGTTGTATGCCAAGACGGCACTCTCAATGGCCCTTATGAAGGCCACTCACTTGCGTCTAGTACTGTACAAGTAGCCCAAAAACTCGAAGCACTTTGCTTGGCCCTCGTGTCCCCCCCCCCCCCGTTCTCACCGAACCGATTCCGGTCTTCAGCCTGCCCCCCTGAAGGCATGGGTAGAATAGTCCTATTTATTCGGCCAGCTCCTCAAATCCAGGAACCAAACACTCCAGAGATTTTTGTAACTCGGATTGATTTCGAATTCATATCTTTTATTCGATTTAGCAGCTTATCTGGCTTGTACGCGAATATCCGCGCATACGTCAGCCGTCGCATTGGTCTCAGCAGCAACAACCCAGAACAAGTAACAGAGCGCATTGCACGGCTCCAACCCATTCGAGAAAGCAATCGAAATATAACCTACCTGCACTCATATCTATTCGTAAGACGAGTACATCTTCTTGATTGAACTATGGCACCCTTTGTTACGGCTGGTTGGATTTGGTTGGCGAGCTTGGTGGTTCCCACCTGGGAGAATCTAGAGTCCAAGTTGCCCAGCACTCCAGCTCCCGTCTTTTTCGATTTTCTACCAGACGACTTTAGTCTGGAGAATCGACCGGTACTCTTTCGTGACAAGAATGGTATTTGCCCTCTCTCCGAACAAGCGTGGTTGGGCTTGGAGGTCAAGAATATTGACTACGTCACCGTATTGGTAGATTCCGACGAATCCAACGACCAGTGGTGTTCACCGTTACGTCTTCAGTGGCCCAATGGTGACGTTCAGACGGACGCCTTGGAGATTCTGGAACGATTGGAGCAAGAGTATCCTTCCAGCAACGGTTATACTCCCCATTATTATCCACCCTTATCCAAGGCGGTCGACTCGGTGCGCTGCAACATTGTTCGCTTCAAAGGAGTCTTTCCACGCTACATTCAACCCAACGTTTATGCTCCCTATTTGATTCGACATCGAAATCCTACCGATGCTCCTTCGTGGGTCCCAGAAAGTGATCACATGGTCACATTGGAAGAAACCGATGAAGTCATGGAGGAATATTATCAGGGACCCTTTCTTTGCGGAGCTCACATTACGGCGGCAGATATTGTCTGGGCACCCTTTTTGGAACGCTATGCCGCACAATTACCACTGGTTTATGACGGAGACGACTTGACACCTCGCAGTAGTGAATACGAAACACTCAAAGAATGGTATGAAGCCATGGAAGAGCAGGTTCCATCCTACGCATGTCGAGTCATGGGCGACAAGGCCACCTGGGAACGCCTGCTCCAATTCGGAGTCCAGCAAGGTCTCACTCCCCCCATCGATGCATTGCTACCCTCCCGAGGCAGTGCCATTCCGACCAATCGACGAAATTTCAATGCCGATGCCGTATGGAAGGAATACGCTAGTACGAGACCGCATGTGGCCGAGTCTCCTACGCTGGAATGCGTTTCCCACTATGTTCGCAATCGAGAAAGCATCGTTACCAATGCCGCCCAAGTGCTTACCAATATGAGCCCCGAGGAAATTGAACAAGCGCTTCGAGAAGTACTCGGTGCATTGCTGGAAGGAGGCGATGATGTAGTATCCAAACTATCGGGAAACGCCCGAGAGTTGACGTCCCATTTGAATGAACAACTATGTGTCCCCCGAGACATGGGGGTGCTGCCCGCTGCTAAGCTGCGAACGTTGGCCGCGGCGGCACCCAAGCCACGCATTGCTAGTAGATAACGACGACGACAATGACAAGCCACTTTTATTTAGTAGCTGGCACAGTTCAGGTAGACTATTCTAGCCTTTCGCATGATTCTTCAGTGTCTCGCAACAACATTTGGCTGGGCGGGTCTGCCACCACTACCACCACCTGCATCGTACATGTAGCAACGTCGAGTGCGTCATTACAGTCGCTATAACAACGCCTCAGCCTCCGGCCTGATAGAAAGGCAGACGAGCTCGCTGCACAAGGACAAGCAAGAATTAGTGTGAAGCGACGTAATGGTTTGGACCAACGAGAGGAGACATCACAGGGAGAGGACACCCGAAGTGCTACCGGTAGTGGTACCACTAGCCGAGGAGCAATCCATCAATCCGTCCTTTGCTCAGCACCTTAGTGACTAAGCAAGGATCTATCTAGCTAGTAGAGAATAGACGGAGCCACCCGAACTTTGGTTCGTCTCGCATTCCTGTTGTTTGCCTCGGGACTAATGATGCCAACCAATCCCCAATGATGGCTGACGCGGAGAACCCTAGCCAAGCCAACGTTACCAAGGTACAGAGAGCCAAAGCGAGCCAAATCACTGGTGCTCAAGCTTGAGACTCCCATGACTCCATGGCTACTACAGTACCGAAAAGGGACTTGACTACTGAGCCAAGAACAAAGGCACAGTTCAGAAGAAGTCTGCCGTAGGACTGAGCCAAGAACAAAGGCACAGTTCCGAATTTGCCGTGGGACCAACAAATGCCAACGGCACCAACGTGGCGTGGTGTCAAAGGCGCAACAAGCTTAAAACTCCCATGACTCCATCATGGCTACATTGCTCAGCCATAAGGTTGAGCCCATCGCTCCCGCCACCATCACGGGTCTGCACTGTTGCATCCTCCAACCGTTGTTCAAAGGCCGCCTAAAACGTGGGAAGCAATGTGATCTTCTATTTTTATACAAAGTTGTGGGCTTTGCTTCCTTGTTTCGGGGCTTTCGGCGGGAAGCCCTATGCGATCGCTGTTGGATTTTGACTCCACTCTCCTCGTGGCGAGGAAGTCTAGCTGGCGAAACGGTAACATTCCTTCGCACTCTAACCGGGACTTTGTCCGTATTTCTGTTGATTTTTACTCGTAAGCTGAGATACTGGCAGGAGCGCCCCTTCGGCAGCGTGCGCGCTTGAGAAGCTTATCCATACTTAAGGCATCAAAATATGTGTTACTAAGTATGTTTGGTGATTAGACAAATGGTACTGTCACATAGTCTGCAAATTTACAAAATTTGTCGAGCACGATCTTCTTTGCTTCCACGGCCAAGTTTTCGCTCCCCAACGCTTGATCAAAGCATCTCGTGAATCTCGTGAGTATTGATCATAGATAGTCTACGGCAAGAGTCGATACCGTTTTCCATCCTTTGGAATTTTGACGCTTCTGTTTGGTGCCTTGCTGACACTGCATGCTGTTGTTGTTGTTGTTGCTTCAGTTCCAATCTTGCTCTGGTAGACCCGAAACCAGCACGACAAACCAAAAGGAAAGCGGAACAGCTTACAAAACAAATAGCAAATCCACCATCTCCAACCTCGAACAACCGTCTCCAAGATCCTGCCTTTGCTCGTGCTTCACTGCCAAGAGTGTGAGCCCAATCGTTTATACGGAAGCCAGATTTCATTCCCCGTGGGAGAGTCGACATCCGCACAATCAATACCCCAAGTTTTTGAAGCTCATAATTTTGCTCCGTTGCTTATTGCGACTTGCCAACGAAGAAACACCAAACAAACAAACAAACAAACATCAAGATGGACCAATCGGATACCCACAGCTCCTCAGTGACATCGGGTGTTGTTGTTCGCCAGATAGTGTCAATGGAAGACCGCCAAATAGTAGACTCAATGGAAAACCGACAACTAGATGTCCCTTGCGAAGAGGACAATGGCTGCAACTGGGATATCGAGGTCCTGCAATTCGTTGTGGAATCCTTCATTTGTTTGTTCCCGGATAGAGATCGTTGCGGGGATCCTTGCGGCGGTGATCGACGGCACGAAGGAAGAGGTATGTCATTATTTAACCATGTCCAGCTGCTGATAGCTACGGTAGCTACGGTACCTCCCTATTCATTCATAACAATGCTGACATTGCGTCCTTTGCTTTCCTCCAACCACAGCGCATGCCTACCGAAAGTCGCATAGCAACATGTCCACGGGCAGCACCCGAAGTAACAGAAGCACCGGAAGTAGCGGCAGTGCATGACGATGTCTCGACGGTTCTTAATAAGATCCTTGTATTATCTATGGGGTGCTGTATGTACTCAATGCGTGGGAGGAAGCAGCCAGAGGAGCAATGCATGTCATTGCATTGGACACCGTGACAGCTAGATTAAAGCAAAAACAACTATTATTAGGCAGCCAGTCTACAATACTCTTGGCTGCGTGCTACCCGTTGCTTTCTTTCGGCCGGTCAGCCCACTCTGGCCTGGGTAGCTAGCTAGCTAGATCACCGTCACGATGTCATCGATCGTTGGACAGGCAGATTCGATTCCGTTCGTTTGTCCCTTGCTGACAGGATCTGCAACGCTGCCAGTGCCCGCTGGCAGCAGTTTGGCAGTCTGTCGTCGCTGACACTCCGTCACTGCGGCGCAGCCTGGCCGTCACTGTCAACAATGTTCCACAGAAGTTGTCACTGTTCCACAGAAACTGTCACTGGCAGACACCGGGACATGTACCATGTCCTCGCTCAGCCAGACAAGCCTTCAACGGATCCCTGCGGATTTGTGCCCTGCCCATGATAACATTAATTTTCTATCTTTACTGTACCTGACGAGACTACATGGTAACAAATAAAAAGCCTTCACCTGCAACCTGCACCAACAATTACTGGGGCGCACCTCAGCTACCGGTACTATCGGCATTGGTAGGCAACCACCTGCTACCGGTAGGCTACGGTAGCTGGTACTCCCCGGTAGCTACCAGTGGTAGGCCTTTGCCTAGTACCGTAGACCATGCCAAGCAAAGATATCGAGGCACTCCAAACCAGGTACCCACAGCACTAGCAAGATAGTAGGCAGCGATGGCAAACCTATTCAGAACGGCAACAGAGGCGGGTGGCCAGCTTGTACTTCATCAGCCATCGGCATCCTCTCCAACAGGTTGGCCTAGCTCTGAGCTAGCTGCAAACATTCGGCCAGGAGATAGACGTAAGAGAGCTTGCAAAAGCAACGAATGCCATACCGGCAAGAAAAGACAGGGAGGTGAAAAGCAGCCTTCATCAAAAGCCCCGTCAGTGTCTTATTCTACTTCCTGAAAAATTGCAAAGTGTCCGATGCTCGTCAACGTTCAACCGACCGACTTAACGTTATCTACCGCTTCTATAGAAAGTTTTCTCTCACCATTTTCAAACGCTTCTATTACACGCGTACACTCTAGCTAGCTAGCCAGTTAGTTCTCTGAGCTCCGGTGGTATCTCTTGCCGTGAGGGGAAACAGGAAGCAACTGTGAGGTTTGAGGCACCCCCTCCCCTGCCCACAGTCAAAGCAAGTTTCGGCCAATTGTTGGTTGGTGTGGCTGCCAAAGATATGGAGATCGCTCTAGTAGCTAGCTACCGGTAGCCGGGACAACATGTTTCGGCGTCCTGCCAGCTGACGAAAACACCCGACACTTCATCTATCTGAACAACCATAATTGTACATTCAGTTTTATTTATCCGCTAGTCAATTAGTTGTACAGTTGCTCAGTTGCAGGACTATCATGCTGCACCATCTGTAATGACATAGAATATTTGGTTGGCATCCAACGTATCCAGTATTTGTTGAAGAGTCGGTCTGAGTTCATCGTCGACGGGCAGCAACGGTTCGTAATGTCCCGGTAGGTATCGAATGGTGATGCAATTGGAAGAATGACATTCCGGCCGCTCATCGTAATGTTTTCCCTTGTAGACATCGGCAATGCCCGACGTGGTATCAAAGACTACGACGGCCCATTCACTGACGACGGCTTGTGGATTGTCGAGCAGATAGACCAAAAAATCCGAAAATGCCTGTACTTGTTCTCCCACTTGTTCCGATGCCACCCATTCGGGGTGAGCCCGTACCACGGCCGCTTCAATGAGCCGTTTCAATTGCAACGCGGTTTCCCCAATCAAGAATCGATCTTCTTCCCCAAATTCAGAGAGGGTATCAAAGGTCGGATTTTTCGTGTCTTGACACGGTGGTATCAAGAGCAGTGCTCCGATGCCACTCAAATACGACGCTGCCAGCGACAAGTAAAAACAGGAATTGTGAATGAGTTCTTGTCGTTCATTGAGATTGGTAGATCCCGCACTGCGGGGTTGTAATTTAAGTCCATGCTGCAATACGTATTCCTGTGCCGCAGCAGTCTCTTGTAGATTGGCCCCGTGGCTGGTAAAGAGTTCTTCGACGAGTCGTCGATGATCGGCCAATTCCTTGTCCCAATGCGCGGTCGTTTTGAGTCGTTTGGGTACGTGAAAAACGTCGGTAATAATGGTAATGATCGAGGGAGATTTTTGAGGCGAACTGTGGAGTGCCAACAGGGATCGATACGCCACGGCAATTTGGTGAAAGGCTTCCTTGGTCCCCCCCTTGTCGGGGTGTGTGAGTTGTGCCAATTTTCGATAGGCCGATTTGATTTGTGCCGCCGAGGCATCGGCCGAGAGTCCCAAAATTTTGTACGGCGATTCCTGGTTGTTTTTGTCATCTCCATTATTCTTTTTGGATGTGAGACTACCGGTGTTGCTATCAGTTCGTAATACCAAAGCACAGTCCAGCATGGAAAGTTCCATGGCTCGCTTAATGGCATCCTGTTCGACGGCTTCTGGATCTTCTCGTCTCAAGTACTGAAAGGTTTGCGACAGAGACGAACTCAGTTGGCTTCGATGAGTGCCATTCACGGTAGTAGAACCACCACCACCACCAGTAGTGTTGCCACCATTGTTGCCCGTGAATCGTAGCACGACAGAAGGAACCAGATCTTGGACGGGGACATCCGACCAATGTTGCCCCGTTTCCAGTTGATCCAGACAGCGCTGCTGCCACCGTTTCGCATCCACAATGGGAATCGACAAGGCTTGAGCCGTGACAATACCCGCCTCCAACGATCCACTCATCATGGACGTACGATCGCCATCAATAACGACGGCATGGGTAGCATCGTCAATCTCCGAAACCACGCGACCACCCAACCCACACAACGACAGGACCGTCCTGTTGTTACTCTTAAGACCCTCCCCGTCCAGAATATAGAGCGACGTTCCTGCAAGTGCCATGGTGATGTCTATTTGGAATATTCTGAAGTGTATCTTTGGTTTGGTGGGAGTGTGGGAGTGCTCTTTGGAGAAGAAAAAGAAGAAGGGTGAGCATTCCGCTTGCTGCACTTTAACGGCCACAGTACGGCTCGTTCCGTTTCGTTATTAAAGGTGCCAGAGCTGTCTAAAAGCTACGAATACTCTTTTCGATTGCCTTTAATTAAAGTTTAGGTGCATGCTTGAAAGATACCGGTACCAGTACAATGTTGTTTCTTTTTTGAGGCATTGGGTATGCATGCCATGTGGAAAGGCTCCAGTTGTTACCTATGGACTGTCATGAGGCTACCAACAAGCCCAGTTTTCTTGAGAATCCGGCATTCAGCTGAGCTTCACTTGACTGAGTCCGTGGGCGCCACAATAGTTGCTTGCATTCAGGGCAGTTTAAAATTGCGAGATGGATTCCATCCGTATCTTTCAAATGGGGGCTATAAAACAGCTGCTTGAGCTTTTGTCTGCGTTTCACATAAATGATGTTAATATATTAGTGTCCTTCGTCACGCGATCCTGGGCAGCCATTGTCCCGTAGCCACTGGATCACTCGGCTATGCTTTTCCCTGCAGGCAGCTCGATATGTTTATTCATCCCATGGACAACCATTTTCGCGAGCCCACTTTACAATTTCCAAATGCCCACCTTCAGCAGCCCTCCAGCATGTCTCTGTATCCCAGCCACAACCATTTCACGAGCCCACTTCAAAACTTCCAAACGTCCACCTTCAGCAGCAAGGGCACAAGTATCTGTATCCTAGCCACAACCATTTTCGCGAGCCCACTTAAAATCTCCAAATGTCCATTTTGAGCAGCACGAGCACATGTATCTGTATCCCATGGACATCATTTTCGAGCCACTTCAAAACTTCCAATTGGCCAATTGAGCAGCATATTGGCATGTATCTGCATTCCATTCACAACCGTTTTCACGAATCCACTTCAAAACTTCCAAATGACCATTTTGAGCAGCATATCGACATGTATTTGCAGTCCATGGGCACCCATTTTCACGAGCCCACTTTTAAGAGTTTCCAAATGGCTATTTTCAGCAGCATATTCACACATCCTATCATTCAATAGGCACCCATTTTCATGAGCCCACTTCAAAATTGCCAAATGGCCATTTCGAGCAGCACTGTGCATGTGTCATCATTCCATGGACAACAATTTTCATGAGCCCACTTAGAATTCCAAATAAATGGCCATTTCGAGCAGCAATGATGCATGTCCAATGATTCCAAGGACAACCATTTTCGCGAGCCCACTTTAAAATTTCCAGATGTCCATTGCGACCAGCAATGATGCATGTCCAATGATTCCATGGACAACCATTTTCACGAGCCCACTTTAAAAGCTCCAAGTGGCCCTCCCGAGCAGCAGCCTCACATGTACGTACATCCCATGGACAACCTTTCTGTCTTACCATTGGAGCATTTCGAAATGTCCACTTTCAGCAGCTGATTCGCACGTCTTACTATTCCATCGGAATCCTTGTTGTTGTGCCCAATGCATGACCATAATATTTCCAATTTTGGCAATTGCAATGCAAACATTATGACTGTCACTCCATGATTTCTCCTTTCTGGAAGAATTGTCCCTGAACCAATATTCTGCACGTGGCTGATTGCAGAATGTTTCGCTGTAAAAAGTATTGGTGCTTGCTGCAGAGTGACTGGGAGACGAATACCGTCCAGGGTTATCCTTTACCTTTCTTGGATTTCTCTTGAGTTCAGTTTTGCAGTACTCTTTGTACAGTTGATTCGTCTTCTTGTTGACAGCTCCTAGGAAAGCGTACTGTCCAACACCAACAAAAGGTAGAATCTGGCCAATCCAAATCAAATCATCAGCAAACAGAGGATGAGGCTTGGCAATATCATTATCAATAGTAGCACTGGCAGTATTCATGGTGCGGTTGTATAGCGGTGGCAGCTGTGGTTGTGGTGGTTATGAGGAGGAGGATTGCGTAGAGCGCGAGAGCGTGGATGGAGCGTGGAGTGTGAGCGTAGAGCGCGAGAGCGTGGATGGAGCTTGGAGTGTGAGCGCGGCAACTTGTGTTGTGGTACCAGTACGGCACCATAGTGACAAGATCCGAAAGCTTTCACGTTGTGGCAGAAGCTTCACACAGCTTGCACTGGCTTTTGAAGTCCAAAACGCAGGATGGATGTGCCGGAGACGAGACAACATCACGCCGGCTATAATGCTGGCGGCAACGCACGACAGATTATAGCCAGACTCATAAAGCTAGGTAGGCAAGCTTTGCATGCATGCAATGACATTCTGGGACACGTACAGGGCTATTGAGAGCCCCTGAAACGCACGCGGTTGTATTATACGTATAACATTTTTACTATGTATTCTACAGATCATACGTATTACACATATAACATTTTTAATATGTATTACACTATGGCCGGAGCTACGAGCTAAGAGTACTAAGAGGTTTGGGCTTAAGGCTATAGAGCTGTTAATGCTACTATTGCTTTGTGCCTAACCCAAGCTGTGTGAGTGGCCCAAGCAATCATCCACGGAAACCAAGCCTCGAAGCCAGAGCCCCAGGTGCAGGACCCTGGCAAATCTTTCAAGCTCTTCACATTGAAAGACGAATTGGACCCTTCCTCATCATTATCCGCCGAGGAAGAGGCTGCCAAGGTAAATGCTGAATCGAAAGCATTTCAAGAGATCAATGCTGCTGACGAGACCTACAAGAAGACTCAGCCAAAGAAGAAGCAGAAACTCAAACACACCCCGTACGTGCCAACGCCAGAGCACGAGGAGTACAGACGCCTCCTCGATTCTCACGAGAAGTGGGAAGAAGAGCTAACAACGATTCATCGTCTTTCCAAGGCGGAGGCAGGCATGGTGTGTGACATTGTCATGCAGTATGGTCAGTCGGAGAGCTTTCCTTCTAAGAACAACCCCGAGGCAAACAGCAAACATCTACAGTTGGCACGTCCGGGATGGGAGCAGTTCCGATCCATCATGGGTATCTTCCAGGAGCATGTGCTCCCAACTGGTTGGCACCACAAGAAAGATCCAGAAACGGGCGAATGGACGGTCATAACGATGGGGGCGCATTAGATTTGAAAACCAATTGCGAGCGCATACATCAATGCCCTTGGTTTATCATACGGTACATTGGTTCAACAGCAAGTCTAATGCAAAACTTGCTTATGGTGAACTATAACTCATTGGTCTTCTCCAATCCTTGGATAGTTATTTCGGCAAAATCAGAGGAATCCGACACGGCTCTCTTAAAGTCCAGGCGGTATTGAATGGCTGCAATGACATCCTCTAGTGCCAGCAGCCACTCGTCGCTATGATTGCTATTATTGTCCTCATCATGATTGACATTGGTGTTTGCTGCCCTCCTGCTTGTTGTCGCTATTCTTTGTTCCGCCTCTTTTTGTTTCAAAATCTCCTTGTCCTCCTCCCAGGTAGTCGGCAGACCATCCAATAAAGTCTTTGCGGCGGTAGTAAATTGCATCAAAGCATCGCGTGGGACGGATTGTGTAAAATGGGTAGCGTTTTGTTGCCATTCCAGCTGGGATCGGGTGGTGGAGCTTGCCCATATTTCCTTTAAAAACTCCACAGAGGGGTAAATGGCGGCAATTCCATCGGGAAAGAGTGCAAAGACGTGATTGTCTCCAGAACTACCGGTAGGGTGTTTCCAAGACCACAACGTGGGCCAAGATTCTACAAATCCATAATCGCGGAACATTTGAGACGATGGCTTCAGTCCATACGACTGGTAGAGTTGCTCGCCCTTTTGGACCCGCCGGACTGTCCGCAGATCGACCCCTTCTTCCGTAGTAAAGAGTTTAGCATTCTTCAATCCATTGTGATGATTCAAAAGATCGTAAATTGGGATCATACCAACGGCACTCGCGCGACTAATAAAAGAAACGAGTGCTTGTTTGGTTGCCTTGTCGAATTCCAACTCATTTCCGCCGCCGCAATTCTTGGAAAACCATTCATTATGGCGATTAAGATCATGACTGGGTGGTAGCCCCTGTAGTTCTTGCACCGCTGCGGAATCCCACATGGCTCCCAACCGAGGCAGCTCCTCATCAATGTGGTTCAAGTAGCGCCAGCCCAAACTCTGGTCGCCGAGCCGAAATTCCGAGGCCAGGATTTTGACCACATTGCACATGTCGTCTTCCGTCTCCATTTGATCCTGCAGACTGCTACTACCAATCACCAACTTCCAAGGACAATGCATCAATTCAGTGCCGTTTTCAATGTCACCACCCAAGGCTATGACGCCTCGAATTCCACCATCCACTTGTCCAATCGCCATGCGTTCATCGACGCGGCCTCCATGAGATATCACCCACTCCACCAGCTTGCGATACCCCTCGTCGTCCTCCTCCTCATCTATTAGAGCTGATGCTGCTGCTGATGATGATCTAATAGTAAACCCTTCCGACAACAAAATCACAACTACTAGAGACCATGAGATAGCGAGAAGAGACTTCATTTTCTTTGTCATGTTGATGTTGGAATGAATTCAGCTTGCATCAACCGTACCGTAACAATGAGCATGCTGCTTCAAATTGGATCTTTCAAGTTTCACGGCTGACGGTCATACGGTACCGTTCACTGGTCCAAGTCAATGTTGCCTCTCATCTTGCATCGCCTTGGGTACTGGTACCGGTACCCTTGCTTGTTGCTACATATTCGGTGCCTCGAGCTCTGGGGCTCAAGATCAGCCCAGCCCAGACTAGCTAGCAGACCGCTCGATTGGATTATCTTGGAAGGCTTCTCTAGCTAGCTAGAGTAGCACAATACTAACAACGGCACCGTACTGCATGGCAGATCTATTGTACTTAACTAAACCCTTTCCCGGACCGGTACCACATTTTGAACGCTCCAGCATATCACGAGGGCAGAGATTTTTTGCTAAACGCGACCGAGCCGAGATCGTTCTTCTTTGGGATTTCATGGGTCCGAAAAAGGTATCTGCCCGGCCACTTGCATGGGCGTGTGTTTCTTGTACCGGTGGCTTGGAAGCTAGTAGCTGGCCCACAACAAAAGGTAAGAGGAAGACTTTTTGTTTCTCTTACAGTGCGATTCTATTATTTCTCCAGGCCACCTTGCGTATTGAAAGTATTGAACCAGCCATGATTGTGGGCGGTGAACCCGAGGTGGTCCTGCAGTTCAATCCCCGTCAAGCCCAACCCATTTCAGGGGAGACAGTTCCCTTGGCACTTCGCTCTCACATTCTGCCAAACACATGGAAGAGATTCTGTGATCATGCTGCAGAGATAGCACAGGAAGAAAGAAGAAAGAGCTATACACGAGCCTTTCTCTCTGGTTTCTTCTTTATCATGCTTTTTACCGGGATATCATTCCTCATTGTTCCGTTCGTTTCGGGGCTTGACACAAACGACCAGGAAACGAAGTACTACCTCGCAATAGGGGGAGGAATCATTGTAATTGCTTGGTGCCTGATGTCGATCCCTTGTCATAGACCAGACTTGCTTGAACGCCGCATGAAGAGACTCTGCCAAGACCTGTCACAGAGGGTTCCCACCATAGCTGCGCATTTCAGGAACATCAGACGGGAACAAGTGCTGGGCACAGAACACAGGAGCAACAGCTATAACAGCAACCGTAACACCCACTACATGATTGAGATTCACTGCATGGATACGATCGAGGACCCTTTCGGAGATTCCGTCATTGTTTCTGCTGCTGTTACTGTACATCAGTTTTAGCCCACATGATTGGATTCCTATGGATGATGATAACATTTTAAAAAGCTGTCAGCATTAGTCTGGGCTGAAAGAATGGTCCACAACGACCAAGCCTAGCTAGGACAGTGATGTGTAACTTTTGGATACAAACCAGCTATGATCAATGGTATACTTCTCCCATCTTGAGACTTCCAAATCCGGCTGGCATTTGGCGAGTCCCACGGCGTGGACTGTGGAAATGTGCACATGTTGGTGTGAAAGTCAAAATTTGTGGCGGCGCCACTGCTAAAGAGATAGATATGTGCTGTATCGAAAGCTGAAACAGGATACATACCAGTCAAAGAGCAGGTTTGCGACTTCATTTTATTAATAGGAAGAACCAGCTAGTGGGCTAATCAATCACCCGTGCAAAAGCACCAAATGAGCAACGGCAGAAACCACACTCCAATAGAGCAATCAACTCAAGAACAACTTAGTTAGGCTTTTAAAAAATGCTCGAGAATACGCGTACGGTAGGCACCAGGAAACGGCCTATCCTGTTCAGGAAAGGGATGTGGACGGACTCTCTTGCGATGGCTACCGGTATGGAGCCATGGTCAAAGGAGCCCAGTCTTTCGATCACTGGAATGATTCAATCTCTCACGTGGCAACTTTCCATAAACCGTACCGCTGGCTTGTGTTTAAAACCGATCGGGACTAAATGGAAACAGCTCTCAGCCACTCGTCATCTTCTCACTTCTCACACAACAAGAAAACAACCTTCAACAGCAAAGAACAAAAGCGCTCCTCCGCTACAACACGCAGGAACATCGAATACAAGCAATAAAGTCCAAGAAGATGGGAAATCCTCAAGGCAGAAAACCGGGTGCTCGGTCCAAGTTGAAAAAGTACAAGAGAAAGACGTGGCTGTGTCGTCGTGCCAAGGATACGGATCAAATTCAAGACGAAATAACCAAGGCGGACGAGGCGGGCAAACCCATTGCCTTTGACTACGACGACGAATTGCCAGGGGGCGGTCAGTTCTATTGCGTGGAAACGGGCAAGCATTTCACCGACGCCAAAGCGTTGGCAGATCACAAGAAGAGTCGTTATTACAAACGACGCTGCAAAGAATTAAAGGAAGAAAAATACACCCAAGGGGAAGCCGAGTGGGCCTCTGGAATGACCAAGGAAAAACTGCCACCCGCACATCCACCCAAAAAATAATACAACGACAGCAACAACCACCAGTGAATAGCAAGCAAGCTTGGCGGAAGGAACCGAGGATTGATGGCGTGAGAAAAGGCGGTGCTAAAATTGGAATTTGGAAAAATGGACAGGAGGTTTTGCCTATATCAGGGTGACTGACAACCAATAATGTAGCACGTCAACAAACCACAAAATCAATCAGCTTTACGTGGCTAGCTAGCATGAAACAAATTTAGGTACTGTAGTCTTCAAGGCTTTGCTGACCATGAGTTGGCCTTGCTAGCCATTCGGTCAAGGGCCATGCTATGCTCAGCCAGCCCCAGAACCTAGCTTTGCCTTCGGGCCTGTTCGATTACCCGCTTGGCTTTCTCCTGTAAGGCAGTTACGTACAAACCTGGAGAGCCTGCAATTTGGGTTTCCTCGTCCTCCTCAAAGCTATCGTACCCACTCTTGCCGTAGATAATCCACCTACTCTAGACCCCCGTTTTTGTCCTCAAAGTCGGGATGTGGTAGTGCGGGGTCCTCGCAGATTGGTTCGAGATTGGGAACATGTATGTACTTGACACATAGTAGTAAAGTGTTTTTACAATCAAGCTACAGTTATTTCTACTCCCCTTCCTGCCCCCCCGGTCGGCAATCCAAATTCGATTCTCACACCGAGAGGCCACTGCCACACATAGACATTCTATTGTGCCTCTGTACAGATCCAGGGTATCAATAAATTAGGTATTCCACAGTTGCTTTATGTGCTCATTTCCTCTCCAACGCGAAACATGGCACTGAACAAAGCCCCGGCTTCTCCATCATTGTTCTTTGCAAGGAAATTGTTGTCAATGATTGCTACAAGGTAGTAGGTATCTCGTATTGTTTCAATCAACGAGTAACTCTCCGTATCAAAATCATAGAGGTTCAGCCACATAGTTGTCCAGAGGGAAAAGGCTTCCTCAGCCCACACCTGGAAAGTACTAGGATCAAAGATGGTAGGCTGCAGGATCTCCCTGTTGACGAAACAAAGTGGGTCAGGCCAACAATTCCACCCGCAGAGAGGAAAGGGGCTGTACATCTGTTGGCTTACCTGTTCGGAAATACACCCCAGGTCAAAGCAGTTACTCCCCCAACTTCAATTCCCTCTTGCACCATTTCAGAAGAACTGTTGCTGCGTATCGCATAAAGGTTCATTGCCTTGTTGGCCCTGACCATTTGAACAAGCCGCTGCATGTTATCTGGGCTGCAGAAGCATTCACAGTAAGCCTTTTGATACACGTAGCCTCCTTCGCCACCCCAGCCAAACGTTGGGTTGGTACTCTCGACTCCATCCACTGCTGGCTGACTGTTGATTGTCAGAAATCCAGCACGGTTCAACTTTGCAAGCTGTGGCTGAATCAAAAAGGACTCGGGTTGCAATGGGTTTTCGCACCACGGAATATGGGGCAGTTTGCCCTCAACATACTTTGCGAAGACGTCATATACATCTTGTTCCGATGTGGGATTGTGTCCCAGCATGGCTCTTCGTTCATCATCACTGCCCAACGAAAATGAATAGAAATGAGCCAGGTCCGAGAGTTCTCCAAAAGCTGGAGATGTAGCGTCACCCCATCGACCATTAGGAAACTCATCCCAATCCTCTGTTCTCCGTACGTAGGATTTCGGACGATTGGCCCAGTTGATGGGCCTCACTTCTTCTTTGGATCGTTGGTCCATGGCAGAAGGTCTCCAAGGTAGAGGCCGCCCTGCACTACTGCGAATTGTATCATGGTTATTGTTGGCGGCTGTAGGCGATGCCTTGTTGTTGCCAGCTTGGTTCAATCCTTGTGTTAGTTGTTGCAATGCCGAAGGATCATCAGTATCGGTGGCTACTTGGCTTGGTTGAATCAAATCAATGGCACCCATTCGTAGCAGTATTCTTGTCACACTCCTTTCCAGGTTCAAAGTGTACTGCAACACAAAAACAAGAAATTAGAGAGGTCAGGTAAGCCCAACTCGTGCATGTTTCCTTGAGAGTGCCAACAAAGCGTGCTTACAAAATGTAGACCGTCAATGCCATACTCATCATTTTCAATGGATGCTGTCAGTATCTCTTGACACATATCAGCTGCAATTTTGCATCCAATCTCTTTGACTGCTTCGTCATCTTCCTTGACAGGCTCCAGTTGTTCCATGACATGCGGTGGCACCGAAATGCCGCAGTACCGCGTCATTCGTACGAAGCTTGAGTAGCTCTGAATTGGCATGATTCCTGGCAGAATGGGACAGGTAATGCCCTTTGCCCGACACCGTCTCACAAATTGTAGAAATAACTGGACATCATAGAAAAACTGTGTAATGATGAATTCGGCTCCAGCATTCACTTTTTGGAGCAGGTGCTCCAGTTCTTCTTCTGTACTGTTGGAAGAAGGATGACCTTCGGGATGTCCTGCTACCGCAATACCAAACCAATCTCCATATTCCTCCTTGATCAGCTTGACCAAATCACTGGCTCGATCACAATCGCCACCACTGATGTCCCCCGGCTTCCAACTTCGTTTGCCTTTGGGTGGGTCTCCTCGGAGAGCCAGTATGTTTCGAATTCCACAAGATTTGGCCTGTTCCAAAGCTTGCAACAATTGTTGCTGTGTCATTCTAGTTGTTGTTAAATGGCACAAGACATCCACTCCACAATACCGTTGAGCAAAGGATGCCACTGCCAATGTCCTAGCGGAAGTGGAACCTGCTGATCCCCACGTAACATCGACAAAGAGGGGTTCCAATCGACGAGTCATGCGATCAATACGAGTCATCAAGTTGTCCAATCCAGCTTCTGTTTTGGGAGGGAAGAACTCAAAGGAATAATAGTAGTTGGGCTTGAAGGAGAACTGGTTATTGGACCCGTCTGACACATCCAAGTTTTTGTTGGAATCTTCACCTTCAGAACTTGCTTTGTATGCCTTCTGACTGCGGCGGGTGAGGATCTTGTCAATGATGCGTGTCATGATGATCAGAATTAATCAGCTACGATAGTGGCACAACCGGAAACAGCAGTAGAGCAGAGCACTCGACAAAGCCTCTCGGTTCATGCTAAGAACAACTAGACTACAAACAGGGGAATTCCTCAGTACAAATACAGCTGTACTGGTATGCGGTTAGAGGATGGATGGATGATCGGGTGGGTGGATAAGCAGTTGTGGAGGACCTTGAAAAAGAATACAAATTGAATTTATCAGAAAACTCAAAGGAAAAACGTTAAAAATTAGTAGGGGATATGGCGAAACACGCTCTTCTTTTGCAGCGAGGAAAGTGCGCTGAAAGTGGTGCGTGGTTCTTGGATCGTCAAGGGTTCTTGATCATGGTGTTGGTGAAGGAGCCGACTGATTTCGGGGCCCAACGGACCAAGACGAAACAGGGTGGCTCTTGAAGAAGAAAGGGCTCCATGGACAGGTGAGCAGGTCTCGTGGTGTCTCCGGAAGCTAACTTCTTGCCTTGCTTTTGTGGTCTCGAGGAGGGCTCTGATAGTACTGGTACGACGAAAGAACAGTGAATAGCAGGGCGCCGGAATGCTAGCTGGCTAGAACAGGTACTGTAATCGTCAAGGCTTGGCCTTGCTAGCCATTCAGCATAGCGCATGAACGCGGCCCGCCACTGGCTTTTGAATGTATTGGATTGTTCAAGACGAGATTGGGAAGATGTACTTGACGAATAATAAAGTGTTATACAATCAAGCTACATGTACAGTTTGTTATGCTGCCCCCTTTTGGCCTCCCGGTGGTCATCCAAGATTGAATCATTCTCACACCGAGAGGCCACTGCCATCGTCGAAGTCGTTAGGGACGAAGCCAATCACAGGGACTTCTTCTTCCGTCAGTCGCAACCATCTCTTGCCCTTTTCAATCAGCGAAACGTTTCCTTCTTGTTCCTCAACCCGAGGACCATCCTCATCAGCCCGGCACTTTTCTACCACTAGGTTCTCCGCCTCTGGAACTGGTGAACATTCCTGCTTCTCATCAGCAGTAGTAGGTTCCACTGTGGTACTACATTGGCGTTTGGAAGTTGACGTTTTCAAGAAATACGTCTGAAGGACTCCCAATCCCTTGGCATGGACGGTATCTTCTCGACGAAGAATCCAACTGGCACAACCTTCCGCGACAAGGAGATCAGCGGTGGCTTTTGAAACATGGACTTTCCCACCCACCCCACAAGTTTCGACACGCGATGTCGTGTTCATGGTATTTCCAAAGAGCTGTATTCTACTGCGATCGCCACGCAACACGCCCGCGGTAACGGGTCCGCTGTGTATCCCCACGCGCAACTCCAGCGTGGCAGTGTCTTGACCAGGAAGAGTCGTATCCGCCAAAATCGACAGCACACGAGAAAACGTCTTCAAGCATTGGGCTCCAAAACGGCACATTCTGGAAGCGTGATCATCCTGTTTGTCGGGAAAGCCGGCTATGGCGACATAGCAATCGCCGACTGTTTCAACCTGACATGATTCAAGGATGGGGGCAGTACAGAGAACATTAGATACAATGCCATGGCAGCAAAAGACTTGTTGACCAGGCCCATCCAAGACCTCACGTACCTTGAAAATCTTTCTCTGACGCGCCAAAGCATCCATGGCCCGATATAGAGTCTCAAGTAGAGTGAACACTTGTGCTGGTTCTCGGGTAGACGACCATTTGGTAAAGCCTACAATGTCAGCAAACTGGAGGAACGAACCAAAGACAAGCGAGGGATTGAGAGAGGACAAGCATCGTCAAGAATCGAACACGGTGAAGGTTGAGTTGACTTACCATAATGGTGGTGTCCGTATGGTGCTCGGCTAAGGGTTCGGAATCCGCAACGGTGAGGATTTGACGCAAGGAAGCTGTGCCATGTTGAGTTTCCAGCATACTGGCCAGTTGCTTTGACTTTTTGTTCCAAGACTTGTTGGAGCTTCCCTTTGCCATTTTCTGCTTCATGATTTTGTCTCGCAGCCCCCCGGGGAACATGGAGGTGACAATCTCGTTGGATCGTGCCGCGTCCCGAATAATCTTTCGGTTCCGACGCTCCACAACACCGTCATAGACAAAAAAGACGATAATCATGAGGGCAAAGGTGCAACCCACCACCACCACATAGAGAGTCGGGGTACTGGTGGGAGATACAGGAATAGGCGGTATGTGAGGGGCATGCTTTCGCATAGTGACGGGCGTGATGTGCACACTGTTTCCTGACTTACCTCGACTTGTAAGCGTCTTCAAACCTTGCACTTGGGTAGATGCTGAGTTTATAAACGCAATGACCTGGTGTTTCGTGCATTCTGGGATGATCACTAAAGTCCAAGTTCACGACATGCTCGAGGTGGTCGTACTTTGGATCATGAACATCATCCCACGCCATAAAGTAAGCGTTCTGTCCCACAATCTCATATGTTACTGCTTGATTGCAATTGTTTCGAGCGACCGCAATGATACCTTTGACCTGATCTGGAAGAAGGCGTCGCAAGGATGCATCCCAGGCGATGGGATAGGTCACGACTGCCACAATTGGTGGTTTGGCGCCATCATTGGAGGAGGGTCCATGCACTGGATGAAAGAGGAAGGAGTGCGGAAAGGAGGAATCCGATCGGTCTCCTGGAAGTCGGTCGTGAAACTGGGCGTGGTACTCTTTTTCTGCCTCGTCGCCATCTATATACGGGTTGATATTGGAGAGCAACGTCTGATTCCCCATGGACAAAAGGGAAGCAAAGAGGTCGTCGTAGTTGATGGAGCTAATGTCAAAGTTGACAATGAAGTAACTGCAAGGAAATAATGCAGAAGGTTAGGAAGTGTGTTACAGACAGACTGTGCGGAGATGCAGATGGCACTGTGGATACCAAGAGGTACGCACCTGTTGGGAGGAGGAAATCGGTATGCCAAAGGATAGTACTCATCCCTGTCGGGAGACGGAGTGACGGAAAAGTCCGTGTTGTTGAATCCAAGGATATCATCTTGATATAGATCAGGAAATAGCCTGTCCATGTTGCCGTAAGCGTCCATGTGACCTGCCTGCACCCATTCCTCATGTCGGGTTCGCTGAAAGTCTAGGTAGGCTTCTCGTTGATCATGTCGAACTCGAGTCAGATAGCCAATGCTTTCCATGTTCTTGGCAGAAACTTGCTCGGACGCAAAGGCATTTAGCCCGTGGTAGTAATCATAGTATGGCCAAGTTGTGTTGGTCAACTCGGCAGTGGCTTGAAGTGTCTCTGTAAAACTCCTTGCCGCTTCTCGTATTCGCAGGACTTCGTCGACGGCTGCTTGGCCAACCGTGGTGGAAAACTGTTCGAACGCGTCTACAAAGTTGGCTTTCTCCTGTTCGCGGAGCTTCATGTAGGACCATCCCGTGACGCAGATACCGGTGATGCTCAACCCCAACGTTGCAATCACCCGCCACAAGTGGACGCTTCTCGTCTGGGTAGCATTGCCCTTTTCAATCTCCTCGACTTCGTCACGTTCAATGTCATCGTAGATTTCAGACTCCTCGGATAGAAAGTCTTTTGATTTAATATCATTACATGCAGAGGCGGAGGTGGATGGGGACACCATGGTTCTTCTCATGGTCTTGATTTATTTGAAGGTGGATTTCGCTGAAAGTGAGGAAGGCGAGAGAGAAGCTGTAGATCTGGGTCGATTTTGTGGATACAATCGAAGCATTCAATCATCCGAGGTCTTGGGTTCGAGGTCCAGGCAATAGAGGCATGGATGATCCGGCACTGGCTAGCCAGCAAGCAAGTTATCGGTAGAGCAAAGGTATCCGGTCAATAGACCAGGTGGGGCAGCTTATTGTAGAGTCGGGTGTGGCGTGTCGGGGTTGGGTTGGGTGTTCCAGCTGGGTTGTTCTAGGAAAGTCGTGGACTCGGAGATGCTCTTTCTGACCGCCGAAAAGAATCTTTTCCCCTCCTTAATAAGTCATTTTGGCATCCGATATTATGGCTTCTTTCGCCTCCCACTTGGTGCAATTCAACCACAGTGTCGGAAGAAAGGAAGGTCATTCAGAAATGCAGCTTCTAACTCACGCGTTCCGTCTTTGGAGTCCGTTCGCATGAATGTGGGGCAGGCCGTGTTGCTCCGTCCTGGCTCGCGAATCCCTCGCCTTTTGCAAGTGGCAACTAATAATAGTCTAAACCGAGCCGAGCCCGCATTTTTTCTTTCTCCGAATGGTGTCCACAACAGTGCCCGCGGAACCGAGGGGGTTGGTAGTTGGTGCGTTGGTGCTAAGGAAGGTAGTTCTTGAGACAGAAAAGAGGGTGTACGGTGCAGAGAGCCCCTGAAACGCACGCGGTTGTATTATACGTATAACATTTTCACTATGTATTCTACAGGTCATACGTATTACACATATAACCTTTTTAATATGTATTAGACAAGTCATACGTACAACACAAGCAACACAAGTGGAAACATATTATACGTATTACATGTATTATGTGTTGTACGTGTTATACGTATAATACATAGTGACGAATTTTTGCTAAGTTTTTTTGCCAGGTGTTTTGCTAGGTGTTTGGGAGGCAGAGAGGAAGATGAACTGTTGCAGGCCATAATACCTGACAGCTTATCAAGTAAAATGGACTCTTACCTATCTGAACTCTCCCATATTGCTAGATACAATATCAATGATGAAGAATGGACTCCTGCTTCAATCATTGTGAATGTAGCAACCTCACTAACTGATGATATACCAAAGGAGATAAACATTATGGATACTCTGGGGTTCGATAATTATCGAATGGAGAAATCTTTCAATGTTCTATATAGCCAGGAACACAGACGATGGTATCTACTCAAGTTCCAGACAGGCAACAAGCTTCATCGTGGCCATGTACAACTGGAAGAGGCACAAGTGAAAGTGTTAAGCACTCATCTTGGCACAGAAGCCGTTACACTAGCGGAACAATGCCTAAAGAACCATCTCTCGCCAAGTGTTGTTAAGACTTTACTTTATGAACGGACAGGCTCATCTCTAACTTCGAAACAAATCGAATCTCTAAGGAAGAGTCTGCATCAAGGAGTGGTCTTGTCTTTGGTGAAGCCAGACGGTACCATCTCTCAAGTATCACATCAGGAGGCGACAGCAGCAGATAGGCTACTTGCCAGATTGCAATCCGATCCAACAAAATCGTTCGTTGTTGTTACGCATAACACGCGTAACACGTGTTGCGCGCTGAGGTACTTACATGGGTTCAGTACTGGTCCCTACAGAAAGTGGTTGACAATGGTAGAATTCAAGGCCAGGTCTTCCACAGGCTTTGTCAGTGAGCCTTCAGAAGTATATGAATGCAAAGAGAATGGTCCTGAAGGCTGTACAGGGCCTGAGGAAGAGAGTGGAGGCAGAAAAATGGAGAATGAGCGGGGGGGGCGTTGAATGAAGAGAAATCTATTCTAATTCTCTCTGGT